TATCCGGTTCGGAGTGAGGTCCTATACCTCTTGGTTTTGATTGTCGTTTTGCCGTATGAAGGAAAAAAAGGGAGGATACAACTGGGGCGAGGTCCCACTTGCAAAGGGGATTGGATTAAACGCCTAATTTTGGCCGCGTTTGCAGACGAGTGCAGAAAATCGAGATTGAACTCCTTTTCTGCATCTCTGCCTAAAACACGCCCAGATTCAGGATCTTAATCCAATCCCCGTTGCAAGTGGGACCATGCTCCTGTTCTGTGCTCTGCCGGTGCTATAAACGGCTTTTTCATTTTTTTCCAAAAACAAAATAATTGGCTTAGCTTCGTGGGCAAGGACATCGCCACACCACTCCGCTTTGGATGTTTTGGTGCATATACATGCTCCATTTTGCGCGTTCTGGGACTGGTGTGGCGAGGCCCCTGAGAACGGAGGAAGGAAAAAAAGGGAGGCTACATACTTATGGGTCTCGACACACCACTCAAAATGTGAAAAAGGCAAAAATGTGGAGGGTGCATCTGGTCATGTAAACGGCTTTTTTCCCTTTTATTTTGTCTTTTTTTTTGTTGAGTGAGTGAGGACATCGCCACAGCACTCCCCGGGGGCCAGGTCCCACTTACCTGGATCCTCCATTCCCGACCATAGATCATGAGAATCAACGGCCAGAAATGAAGAATCCGGTCAAGTGGGACTTCGCCCCGGGGACTAGGTCCCACTTGCACGAATTAAGAGATACTGACCGTAGATAGCAAAGATCAACGGCCGACATCTCCTAATTTGCGCAAGTGGGACMTTGCCCCGGGTGTAKCTTTCAATGTTCTTGTTGCAGATACATGCTCCATTTTGCACATTCTGGGACTGGTGTGGCGAAGCCCTGAGAACGGAGGCAGGAATAAAAGGGAGGCTACATACATMTGGGCGTCGCCACACCAGTCAAGGATCATAAAGGTCAGGTGTATCAGGTTGAAGAGRGTACAGGGTTTGAGTTTTCGGTGGGTCTGTACGGCTCCGTCMCGCACGTCCTCGCGGTATGTCAGTCATGAACAATGTGATTACACCAAAGGAGTTACAATTTGAAACGTGTAACTGTGGACATATGCCATGAATAGGAGCATTATGGAAATGCCCTAGGGTTTTGCCCGGGTTTAACTACGCCCCTCCTTCCGTGAATGATAATAATACATAAAAGAAAGGGGGGGGSCATACACTTTTTTTTGGTACTCRCCATTGCAAATTTACTCCTTGGTGTGTGGCTTCTTTCTCTGTTTGTCTTCGCATGAAGTAAATTTCAGTTTTGYTCCTGCGTATCAGGCATCTTCTCCCTCCTGCAGATTTGAACTATTTACTTTATTTTGTTTGATTTTCTAATTATTTCAGTTCACCGAGAGGGCTATAAAGTTCACGCTATCGGTGGGGGTGTGACAGGCACCACAAACCCCTACTTCCTACCAGTCGCTSAGGACYTCGGAAGTGGGCACAGCGGGTGACAAACGTTGTTGCCCTTGGATTCAGCGAAGGACAGGTGCCTTCCTCCCCAGGTTTCCTCACACTGGTACTGCCCCTTATGGTGGACCTGCAGGCAGCAGATGGAACAGAACGCCGCAGTCGTTTTCTTGTTTMCACTCGTGTATTCCCTACGGCTTGGACCCCGCAGGAATGCGGATGSAAAAGACGTTTRGACACGAAAAGCGGGCAAAGATTTTGGAAAGTTGGAAAGTAGTTTTCTGGGMCCTCAACACAGAGTACGTTTTGTGGCAAAGCAGGTTTTTTCTTTTCCGTAAGGGGAAAGGTTTGTGGGCAGTGGTTGAAAAAGGAAACTGCTGGAATGTCCAGGAGGTCTTGGCTGGACCTGAGGAACCGGCCGTGGCGTGGGTTGTGGGTGACACGGGGCGGACGCCGGGCGGTGCACGGGCGGACACTCGATGGTCCGACAATGGGACCTGACCTTGGAAAAGTTGAAGAAGGCACCCACGGCCACCATGYGCTTTCAGCACAATTTCACGGTCACCGTGGCATGCCCTCCCGGAGGCCTTTTCCAGACTGCGKACAACGTGAAAACATCCACATTTGATCTTCCAGGCCACGAAATACAGTCTGTGGGGTCTCGGAAAACAGTCTGCGAAGACAATTGGGCTTTTCCAGAACTATTATCGGGTAGCATGGTTTATGTTCTACACAGTAAAGGCCTCGCCGGACAACACGCTACACAAAAAAAAAGAATGACTTCGTTTCGCGTACGTTTCGCTGCACAGCACCCTCGTGGATCTTGTCAGTGTCTCCTCACGAAAGATGTCAGACTTCAAGTTCACGAGTGTGAGCACGTGCAGMGGCCATCCCTGCCTGCAACTTGCGCGAACTCSCRGGTCCTCCGCTTCACTGCTGGTGGAGCTGCGAATCCGCACGAGTGCGACACGTCGCTTCAAAGAAAGCACATCCAAAAATTTGTACTTTTGCATGTGTCAGGCCTCGCAAGCGACGTTGGAAGCTAGCGAAGCCCTTYCCACGAGGGAATTCGCGTGTGCTGTGTGGCGGTGGTGCAWAAAACGAGTCAAAACGGTGATTCTTGACCTTGMGAGGCCTCGCGAGGTTTGAGGTCGTTTCATTTCGTTTATTGCACGGTCCGGTGAGGCCCTAAGCTTGGAAATGGTCTTATGAAGTGGGGGATGGGCATCTTTCTGGATGGTAGTGTCCAAAGCCAACACTCTCCCACACACCACAAGCAACCCACTCACACGCGCACTCACACCCGTGTTGGCTGAAGACCTTACTGATACCGACTGGGAGGATCCAGCTCACTATCTCAGTTGGTTGGCACCAAGAGTCCCACAGGCGGCTGCCTCTTGAATGCCACTTGCGTGCCTAACCAATTGAGCTAGGAAGCTGGATGGAGCCCATTCTAGATTTCATTACTTGGGCATTGTAAACAGCAGAATGCATCTATACTGTATTTCTGGGAAGATGCAGTAGAAGAGAAGAAAAACAGAAGGGCAAAGGGCCCAGACCCAAATCGCCCGCCCAGACCCATATCGCGCCGTATACTAAGGCAAGGACCCCACAGGACCGCGGAAAGGAAAGACTTTGCCGCTAACTCTTTCCAGGAGCCCACAGCCTGCTGCAAATGTCCTGGAAAAGGTGAAATTTCTTCCGCAAACCCTTTTTCCAGGACCCCACAGACCGAAGATTGCGGCTTGGAAAAACATCGTTTTGTGTTTTCACATAGTCCGCGGCCTGGAAAAGTCTCASGGGAGGATTCCTCGCCGCAATTTTGTGCAGACTGTTGAGGGTAGGGGGGAGGGCATGTCGTTCCTGGAAAAGTCTCGGAAAAGGCAGCAGCCAATAGAGATGAAGAGTGCCACAAAAAAGAAACGAAAAAAAAAATTGGAAAAAAGAACAAAATAACCGAGTGCCAACGGAAACGGGCAGCGATTGGCTCAACTGATTTCCAAAGGGTTTTCCAAGCGCATTTTGTCCTCTGCGATGGGCTCCCGGAAAAAGTRCTTTCCGACTTTCCAAAACGACTTGCGGCAATGCCCTGTTTTTTATGGGCAAACGTCTTTTCCATCCGCACTGCAGTGGGGTCCTTGCCTAATTTGCAACTACCTTGACAAGATAACCTGCCCTACTACCGGTCTTAGGGACAGATGAGACCGGACCCTAATTTCTCCCCCAAACGAACCCAAACGAACCCGAACGAACCCGTCCTAGCGAAGCTGTACTGCACCACCTTACCAAAAATAGAAAGAAATGAAACGAAGAAAATGGAACCCACACAAGCACAGCCTCCTGGCTGCGAACCTTTTCGGCGGGGTGTGGGGTCCCRGAAACAGTTCCACTTCCACCGTAAACGTTTTCCTTTCTACACGTTTTCCTTTCCGCACTTCTGTGGGGTCCCAGCCTAAGGCTTGGACCCCACTGGCYGACGGCGTGGATAAGTTTYGGYGAKGAAGTGTTTTTCAGACCCCACAGGTGTTGGAAACCGTTGTGGAAAGTMGGCACGGAAAGGAATTTCAGACCCCACTGCGGTTGGAAAGAGGTCGTGGAAAAGCTGACGGGCCGTTTCTACTCGGCTCGMGGTCTGGAAATTTTTGGCGACGAGTTTCCAGGTCGTKTCCAAGGACGCCTCCAGACGAGTAGGGTGGGGGGCATGTCAAACAGTTTCCAGGATCGGGCTGGACGTTGTGGCGTTTTSTGACACTTCATTGGCTGCGCAAGCAGACCATGGACCACAGCCCCCGCCGGGCTTGCCTCTTTGGGAAACACCCCGGTGCGATTTCCTATTCGGGTATGCCCAAACTTTTCCAATGCCGAAACTATCRGCCTGCGGTGGGGTCCCARTGAAACGAGGAAGAATGTTTCCAACCACGGTCGGCCATTTTTTATGGCCAACACCAGTTTCCAGCCGCCGGCCAGYGGGGTCCAAGCCTAAGACCAATGGCTAGAAGTGCAGTTAGATACATTATTCTTGAAAGAGCTGTGTGAGAACCATGAGCATTGATTGTTCGGAGTCTATCACATGGAGTTCACATCAGCAACAGCCAAAAAAAAAAAGAAGAAACCTCAGTATGCTGTCAGCAGCCCGCCTCACGGCGGGCACCACGAAGACATTTGCTGGGCTACTTTGCACATTCACAATGACAAAAGACAATAATAATGTATCTTTCCATGTTCAGCAGGAGTATTCAGTCTCATTTTGCACATTTGGAGAGCAGTGGGGAGTGGGCAAATCAAGAAAGATTCGTTGGTTGAAGTGTGGGTCCCCGAAATGGTCCCCTACCCTCTCAACTG